GATCTTGAGAACAGAACTACAAACAAATTAAAAGTTATAGCGTTAGCGTTAGCGTTAGCGTTGTTATGGTATACTTCGTAGATTGGATACTAGCGACACTCACGTCTCTTCTGAAATTCTCAGTTAGACTACTTTCAGGAATAATGCTGAGGAGTAAACATTGGTTCCAATCTAAACAAGAGTAACAGAAGCATGACTGTCGCTATTCCCGGCCACGCCCATCTTTACCATAACTAGGGATAGGGAAGGAAATGTTGATGTAGTACTTACTTAACGAGAGGCCACCGACTTAGCGACACCCTCATAAGTGCTACGGAGTTGGAGGGTTGGGTAGGGTATTCGGTTAGGATTCACCTCAAGTTGGCGATGCAACCAAAAGTATGTATTGTTTATTTGTTGTTTATTTAATCTCTCGATGGCCGGCTATCGAAAGAACATATTAATTTTGTTTAGTTATAATGAATTTTAAGAGTCATGATGGAGAGCTTGGGATTAAACCCATGATTTTCTGCTCAGTAAACAAAAACGATCCCTCCAGGGTCATCGAGCATCTCAGAACCATAACGCTTCGGGACAATACAGGACTACGTTTTCACTTGATATGCAAATAGTTTCCGAGGTTAATGTTCAATATCAAATATACAAATGATGGTGGCGATTTATTGTGCTGTGGAAGAGCTTGGGGTTAAATCCACGATTTTCTGCTCAGTAAGCAAAATCGATCCCTCGAGGGTCATCGAGCATCTTATAATCCACAGCGCTTCGCGTCAAAGTACGAATATATGGATGAACTATTTATTATTGAATAACTATTATTTACGATAATTACATGAAAGAAATAAAATATAAACTACAAACAAAACGTGACTACTAAAATCTCAAAAAGATATTCTCACAAATATATTTCACGCAACCAGAAATTTTAAAACCATTAGACGCTATAATGATACTCTGCACATGTTAGACACAAGAAGAGGGCAAAAAGCAAGCGTCGGACACACAAAACCCGCCAAATCCAGTCGCAGTCACAATCAACGATTCTACGAATCGCGAGCGCTCACGAATCATAAAACCGCTGACTGCGGCACTCTGAAATCGAAATTCCTCCCGCATCCAACAACACAAATCTCCATTACAACATCTAACGAATTCAAAACTCCGAAAATCACTCATCTATAGCAAGTGAGTGAAAGCAACCCTACATGCAACGATTCTACATGATACACTTTTTCTGCCTATCTTTCTATTGGGCCTGTGGACATGCGTTAGCTTGGAAACTTCTAACCAAACTGGGAAAATTTTCAGATCACAAAAAAAAAAACTTAAAAAAAACTTTCAAAGGTAATTACAAGTAAAATTAATATTGATTATTTAACGCAAAAACGAGCAAGTAATATTAAATCTCTTGTATCGTATGCTAATGCTAATTGACTGTAACAAAAATAATATGCTTAAAAAATAAAATTATGTGCAAAATTTACTAGAAGATCATTATTTTATTGGTGAGAAGTTTCTAATAAGCCCTCCCAGTTCCTCTGTATACAGAACAAATCTGATATTATAATCAGAATTGCTCAGTCTGCATGAAGCAGCCGATTTCATCAAGGAAGTTCTATTAACAACCAAGAATTAATCGTTTGAGGCATACTGAAGCATTAAGAAGGTGATATGTGTCACTATAGGAAATCATCATCGTTGCAAATATAAAGAAATTAAACATAACCCTTTGCTTCAGTACCGTCAACCTCCATGTCCATGGGGAGGGACTACAAACAAATTAAAAGTTATTAACAGAAATTCATAGAAACAAAATCACAAGAGAGGTCGTAGATCTTCAGATAAATGTTCAAAGAAATTTTCAAAACTTCAAGCAAGCAAAAATAATGTCAAATCAATTTGTAAAACTATAAGCGAAATTTTACAAATCTTCAGGGAAATTCGCATAACTTCAGACAAGTCCAAGAATCTACAGTGAAATATTAAGTATTTCACAGAAGTTTGGAGATCCTCGAAACATTATTCAACGTCACAAAAGTTCGTAGATCTTCAGAACAAAGCTACAGAACTTTGTAAAAAATCACAGGACTTCTGAAAAAATCACAAGAATCTCAGAAATGTTAATGGATCTTCAGTAAAAATTGCAGAACTTCAGGGATTTAAAAAAATAAATATTTACACGATTTCAGGAAAATTTGTAGATCTTGAGAGAGACATTTAAAACTTCAAGGAAGCTCAAATATTTTCTGATAAATTTTGACAACTTCAGGTAATCTTCAAGGAAATTTTCAAATCTTCAGGGTAACCCTAGAGGAATTAACAAAACATCAGAGAAGTTTGCAGATCTACTGAGAAATTTATGGAGCTTCAAGTTTTTTTTTGTAGATCTTGGGAATATAGCTACGGAGCTTAAGACAACTTTACAGAACTTTAAAGATATTTGCAGGAATTTGACGTAAAGTTTCACAGTTTCACACAAATGTGAGATCTTCAGAAAAATTCGTTAAATGTCAGAAAAGCACCTCAATTCCAAAAACAAATCACAGCGAAGTACAAAAGTACAATATTTTGCAGAACTCCATGGAAGTCGGAAATAGATAAATCTAAAGAAGTTCAGAGAAGTCCGTAGACCTTAAGAGAAGTCTGTAGAACGTCAGAAAATTCGTACGTTTTTAGAAAAATTTGCAAAACTTCAGCAAAACTCGCAGATCTTCGGGAAAGTTCGCCGATCTTTAGATGAAGAATCCACAAAGAAATTTAAATAACTTTAGAAAAGTTCGGAGATCTACTGTGAAATTTATTGAACTTCAGGGCAGTTCGTAGATCTTTAGAGCAAAAATACAGTACTTCAGGAAACTTTACAGAATTTGAAATAAATTTTAGAAACTTTAGAAAAGTTCAGAGGGTAGGTCGTAAATCTATTCAAAAATTAGCAGATGTTTAAATAAATTTTCAGAATTTTACTGCGGTTCTTGGATTTTGAAAGACATTCACAGAACTTCAGGTAAGTTCGCTGATCTTTAGAGATATTTGCACAGCTTCAGAAAAATTAGAAAAACTTTAGAATACTTCCTAAAACTTCCGGAAAGTTCAAAAAATTCTAGATAATCTTTTAATTCTTTAGAAAATTGTATAGATTTTCAGAGATATTTGCAGATATTCATTGAATCATGAAAATCTGCAGAGAAAATTACAGAACTTTAGAGAAGTTTGTAGATTATTAGAAATGTTGTGAACATCAGAGATAATTGTTGATCTTCAAGGATCTTAAATCTTCAGGGATTCAGGAACTTTGTAGGTTTTTAGGAAAATTTGCTGAACTTCTGAAGAACACACATAACTTCAAAGAAATCTGTAGAACTACCGAGACATTTGCAGATTGTCATGAAAGATTGTTGATTTTTAAGGAAATTTTACCGGAGAACAGAAACAAAACTTCAGGGACGTCAGAATGTTTGAAGACCTTGCAGAATTGAGTTGTTAACATAAATTTTCAGAACTCAAGGAATCATGTATATCTAGTGAGAACTTTTCCCACTAGCTTGTCTAATGTTGGTATCGACATCCTGGTGAAGTTTTGAAATCCATTTTCATCTTCATATCGCAGCTCTTGATGGACAAGATGAGCCAAATCCCTGCCAGTGTTCCTCCTGAGCAACCATTTCCTACTCCACAAAGTTCACCTTCTCTTTCTAATTTTATTTAAAATAATAATAGCAAATACGTCTGCCGAAACTAGAGCAATTTTCCGGTAATTCATGATGGAAGTATTTACTTTTGATTCCTGATACAGTTTTGTTTTGAAATCTAAATTGACAGTTCTTTCGACATGTGCAAGCAGTGTGAACACCAGCAAACAGGGGGGTTCGATAAAATAATAATGTGTATAATTTGTATGCACCTGGAATTTTTTCATCCGACCTGGAAAAACCTGGAAAACTCAGGGAATTTGATTCCTTGGATTGAGTAGACACCCTGTTATAACAATAATAAACTGTGCTTATACTTTCTGGGACACCCTATAGAGTAGACTAAAACTGCATCCCATTACCCAATACAATTAGTAAAGTGCACCAGCTTAAACATGCACGATCAATTAAAATCACATATTAAATAATAATATCATGTACGCTGCTGACGAGAATATCTTATCCATAGCAAAACAAGTTATTCTTGAACAATTTGTAGAACACCCTCTGGTTGAAGCTAATATCAACGTCTTCTCAAGAGTATTTCTTTTATTTTAATCACTGAACTGTATAAACCTTGACAATCGAAGAAACTGTTGGCCCGTTTTCCTCTCACATTCAACAAGTTGTTATAAGTGATTGTTCAGAACTTACGACAGCAAGGCAGTCGGCTAGGGTTCAAGACTCGTGAAACCACATTAATGCTTTTTTAAATCTTTATTTTTTTTCATAATAGCTCATTTTGCTATAGATTTGATCTCCAGCAGCTCAAACCTGTTGTTGGTTTGATATTACAACCACTTATTTTGTTATTATTCAGTTATAGTCCAATTGCTTTTCAGTTAATATTTATGATATTTTAACTCTTATTTCCATCAAACCAATAACAAATTGAGATGTTCTGATATTCTTTTTTTAATAGTAAAACTTGCTATTGGTTTGTTATTCTCTTCTACTCGGGTATGTATGAAATAAACAACACGTTGTTTAATTCCAATACAAAACTGTGCTTTTACTTTCTGGGACACCCTATATATATTGCTAAAATCCATAATTAAAACAACTGGTACTTCATATTTTATCTCAACTAGTTTGAAGTTGCTGCTACGTTTCTGCTCAAAATAGATCCCGGAATATTACAGATTAGTCATATTTGGCATTTCCATTTCAAAAGGACGAGGAAACGTTGCGTTCCCTCAAGCTAGCGTGCCGATGTCATTGGTTCGGGAAATTCTCAATCAATCACGGAAAATTTTGATTAATGACTTTTACCTAATTCTAATTCTGACATTTCATCTTTCGCCCTCGTTCCAGACACAATGATCATATTCCTGTACTTGATACTAGTCCTCGCGTGGGCCCTGCTAATCGTGATACTGAAATGCAAAAAGGCTCGCGCGAAACGCCTCGCCGAGCTACAGGAAGCCGCCCAACCGGTCCACGTGGTTCAGATTGGTTCCAATCTATACGACATTATGGCCATTCAGCACCACCACCACCACAACCGGCCACCGTACGGGACGGTTTACGACTGTCTGGGAACGAACGATGGCTATGGCGGTGGGCAGACGCGGTCATCAACGAGCACCGTCACGCACTCCAATGCCGCCTTCATTGGGGACGATGGGAGTGTCTATCCGGGCAGTAATATTCGTAAGTTGTGCGTGTCATATTAAAAAAACCTCGGTAACTAATTTTACGCTTTTTTACAGCACCACTAGAGCCACCGCCATCGTACGACGAGGTGATACGGCTACCGGCGCACTACCCCAAGGTGGAAACGTTCGTGCCGGAGATGGTAGTGCCGCCGCCCTCTTCGCCGCCACCGCCACCTGTTGACGTGACCGGCGGAGGGAGCGGGGGAAGCGCAAATGCTCCGCCCGTACCGGGTATGATTGTTCCGAGCGGAGCCAGCAGGATCAAAACTATCTCAGCAGTGACGAATACCTAGTCCTTTCGATGGAAGCTAAGCTTTTTGTGGTATTTAGAATGTTTTTTTTTTATTAGAAAGATTGATAGTTTCACTTAATTTTGTTTGATAAGATAATTTAGATTTAATAGTTGACAAATGTGCAATAAATTTATTGATTCGTGATAAAAGTGCAACTCCGTTAAATTTCGGTGTGAATTCCAAGTCAAAAATAGTCCGTCGATTGGTCCGTTCAGTTCATGATGAACAGCACAATGAATGGCTTGGGTTCAATCTTTTAAGCTTGTATGCAACTTTTGGCGTGAGTGAGGCGGTGATATTTTGAATTTACAGATTGATATGACTCGACCCTCGTAATTTTTAATATGCATTTATTGGTGGTGTCATTATTTACAAAAAAACAATTGAAACCTCTCTCATAATGGCACGTTAAGTGTACTTTGAAATCATGCGTTAGCTCTATGGTAGTAAGTAACAATTAGTACGTTTTCACAGATCAAACCCTACTCAAGTTTGTAGACTAAATTTTAACAAATAGTTTTCGCTCTTCTACATAAATATATCATCTCTTTCCTTCTATCATAACTATATTTACAAACAATTTTTACACACTTTAAGCAATAAATAGGCCGCAATTACATTTCCGGAACGATAGTCTACCGTCAGGTTAGGAATGTTAATTGTTTTCCTCGCATTCATTCGACCATCATAAGCTGGTCGTCGCTTGCAATTTAAAGTACCTACTCCTGCTCTCAACCTCATGCAGCGGGCCTCTCCTCTCGTCCACCGTGTAGCACGTGCTCATCGATGGCAAATTACTCCGGCCGCTTTTCAGCCTTATGAAGCCCCAGATGAATGCCATCATACTGGTCACCACAATGAACGCCCCCAAACCCTCCAGCACTATCCGGCTGACCCCGACGGAGGGAAGCCGAGCAGCAGCCGCTTCCTCCAGGCGCATCCGATTGAACATCAAATCCGGATCGTCGGCCATTCGCGTCATCAGCAGTTCGTCGTAGTACGAATCCTGGTTGTCGCTGTCGTTTTCGTCGTCATACCGTCTATTCCCGGGTTCCGCGATTCGATTCAGATCGGAGATGTCGCTTTCTCGGTCAGCTGGTGCAATGCCGGGGAAGAGTTCCTTTTTGATGGATTTGGCTTTTGCGCGGTCCAGGTAGGGCACGGGGAGCACTGCCACCTGGCACGAGCCCAGGTATTCGTCTTTGGAGATGTCTTCCTTCATGATGAGGCAGAATTTGTAGCTGGGGAAGAACGAAGAGAATTGTTTGTGGTTTCGATTAGATTTAGGTTTTCATTTCTAAAATAAGTTAAAACATTGAGACGATGTATGATTGAAAGTTTTTCAATAGATATGCTAAAACCAGTATATCCAATTATGCTAAAAGTTATACGATCATCGGACAAAACTAGCATAAATCATTTTTTTAAATAGTTTTCCTGAAAAATCATCCGGGGAAATTTTTCATTTTGAAGCTGGACCCACAAAGCTGCATCGACGTCAGCAGATTGACGCAGCGTCGATTTGACGTCGCCAAGTAGAGATTTCGGTGAAACAGCAACTTCACATGCGTTACACCTGTCATTTAACGCACGAACCCCTTCGTGAATGCTGACGGTGACGCAGCTTTGTGGGTCCCGTTTGAGAACGTGGATTTGCCAAATGCCATTTAAGCTGGACCCACAATACTCCGTCCTCGTCAGCGTTGCAGAAGGGGTTCGTCCGTCAAATGACAGATGTAACGCATGGCAAGTTGCTTTTCTACCGACATAGCTACTCGGCGAATTCACATCGACGCTGACGCAGCTTTGTAAGTCCCGTTTTATTCGCTGTTTCAGTAAACCAAAATTGTCCTGAAAAAATGTTAATGTTACCGATAATTCTTTGTGGATCTTACTAAAATTTTGGGTTTCTTTGTTTGAAAGACATGTTTAGTTCACAGATCTTGGCAGTAAGTTCAAAAGTTTTTACGACTCTAAGAATTCAAAGACTAATCTTGAGGAAAAATTCTAAAAACTTCCGAACCCATGAAGCCTCTTGAGGTATCTGAAATCGATCTATAAATTGACTATTAAAGCCCGGCCAAGCCCGTTATGTTTCTACAGTCAATTTCTAAGATCTCTCTACCTAGCTCGTTAGACCTCTGTAGTTAGCCCACAGGATGCATACCGTTCACGCAAACTGTTTGTACTTCTCTGAAGTTGATCAATAAGATCTCTGGACTAATATTCCATAGCATTTAAGGCTTTTTACAAACTTTATGGCATTTTAATTCGGAACATTTAAGATTTCCAATAAGGTAATTTCTACACTGAATTAAAATGATAATTGGCACTATAAGAAATTCTGATGAAAATTCTTTGATTGAAAATGTGTAAGTTAAATACTACATTCAACCAACAATCAATACAAAACCAACGATTTTAAATTGGCTCACTACTTGACTAGCCTATTGGTCCTAAGCAAATCGATTAACGTACCCTATTCTAGTCAAAATTCTAGTACTACACAATGTTTGTTTTGATTCGCTATGAAAGTTTGACAGATAAAATGAGGGGCTGGTGCTAGATACTCAGAATAAGAGCCGTGATTGCCGTACTAATCAAATGGGAATCACTTCACCGGGACGACAAGTGACAAGTTTTCACCGTGAAGTGACATCCGTAATAAGCACCAATATGTCATAGGTAGAGCTTCTGAATTATGTGATGTTGATGTTAAAATCAAAGGAACTTTAGAAATATCATAACTGGTGGTCATATCAATTGGCTCACTACTGGACTAGTCTATTGGTTCCAAGCAAATCGATTAACGTACCCCATTCTAGTCGAAATTCTACTACTACACAATGTTTGTTTTGATTCGCTATGAAAGTTTGAGAGATAAAATGAGGGGTTCGTGGATTTTCCAATGTTTCGAGGGGTGCATCGATTAGCTTGGGACCGAAGAGAGTACCAGAGCTGAGCCAAAAAGTTGAGCACGTTTCCTCGGGACCTTCTAGTCTTAGAGTTACCACTATGGTCATAGTGAGTACCCAGGACCTATCGACCGCATCAGAACATGTTCCTGTTGTTTCAGGGAAATGGCCCGTACCTTTAATTTTGACCAAAACCTATCATCACTCTTATCCGATAAGTTAATGCTCAGGACAAAGGTCATTAGGCCAAACGGTCATTAGACCAAACGGTCATTAGGCCAAACGGTAATTAGGCCGAATTTCAGAAAATTATTTCATATCACTTGTGAAGAAAATTTGCTGGTTTGAAACCATACTCCATATTGGCCTCAAATCACCAACAATTATTCCGAATCATGTCAGGAAGAAGAAGAAGAAGAAAAACAACTACTATAGAAATTCAGGCTGTGTACTACGTGGAAAAACCTTGAAGACCGGGAATCCTCAGGGAATTTTATGTTTCCTGGAAACACCTAGATTTCTCAGGGAATTTCATCATCACTCAGGGAATTTTCAAACTTCTTTCAAAGCGTGTTCAGTTCAAAGTCACCTCAAATTCACCCAGATTGTTTCCAAAAAGTACCTTCCCATGATGTCGGGCCTCCCTTAGCTCAGTCGGTAAAGGCGCAGCTACAAAGCAAGACCATGCTGGAGGTGGCTGGGTTCGATTCCCGGTCCGGTCTAGGAATTTTTCGGGTTGGAAAATTTCTCGACTTCCCTGGGCATAGAGTATGATTGTACCTGCCACACAATTATGCTAATGCATCGTACAGGTACAGGCATCGAAAGCTCTCAATTAATAACTGTGGAAGTGCATCTAGAACACTAAGTTGAGAGCACGCAATAAGCTTATAATGCCATACGCAATAAGCTTGAAATGCGAAGAAGAAGAAGAAGATGATGTCTGGCTGCCTGTCCTCAATTTTTCTCGAGAGGAAGTACAGAAAGCTTTGAAAAATTTCTACGTGTCAAAGGAAGCTGAGGTCGATGGTCTGTAGCCATATCTACTGAAAAAGTGAGCTGCTTATTTAGTAGATCCATTGACACAGCTGTACAATCGATCAATGGAAGAAAAAACGTTCCCAGGCCTGTGGAAAACTGCTTCAATGATTCCCATTCACAAATCCGGCACCCTTCAACGTGTCGAAAACTACCGTGGAATTTCGATTATTAGTTCACGAAGTTATCGTGACTGCAGCAAAAACACTCAGCAACAACTAATCTAATGTATTATATGAGCAATTTATTCCGAGACACTGTGCCGCATACCTACGCCGTGGAGAAGCTGAAACACATAGATCTTCCGGAATGGAAAACAGACTGGTTGAAGTACCTGCCTGGTCGTAAAGTATTCGTCCAGGTCAACTCTGCACGTTCCAAAGCATTCGAAATACCATCTGGAGTTCCCCAGGGTAGCGTATAAGACTCTCTTATCTTCGTCCTCTTCATAAACGATCTATGCCTTCGTATGTCGTCCGGGAAGCTTTAATACGTGGATGACCTAAAGCTGTTCAGGGTCCGCATTGGATTGTGCGGCTCTACAAATGGGCATCGACATGCTTTCACAATGGTGCAACGAGAAAAGGTATGTGCGTAAACATCATCACGTGCAAGGTAATCACGTCCAGTCGTAGCTGGTCACCTATTATCAAGGGGTTGGTCACTCCACACAGTGTGACAAGATCAGATTTAGACACACATGAGCACGCTGATTGACACAGTTTGGCACCTATGGTAGGAAACATTCATGATCTTTGAAGTTACTGGCATCACTGTACTTTCAAATTCAACTTTCAAATCAATGTTATTACATTTTGAAAAACAACCTAGAATTTTCGCTTAGTTCCCCAAAACCGAGTTGGATTCCCCACTAGAATCTCGAACAGTGCACAGGCACAGGCATTAGCCTGTCCGAACAGTAATTCATTCAACGTAATACAAACCAAAGTCAGGGTAATCGCTAATGATCAAAATCGCATGTTTAGTTACAATCCACTCAATCAATCCCACATTCCACAAAGCACCGGATATGATTTGAAGAAATGCTGTTCGTTTCACTGTAGCTTTGTGTGACAGATGAGAAATGGCCAAGAGAGGAATCAGGAAGATAAACGGCTCGTCACAACTAGCTGCTCTGTATTGTTTTGGATATGCTTGTTTTAATTTAGTTTCGCCGACTGTCGCTCCACGGGCACATGCAACCACTGGCGAAGTCAGTCGTTAGCAGAGGAACACTTTTCTTCTCAATCTTGTCCTCCTCAAATCTTGTATCTACGTTGTACCGGTTCGATGCCAGTTAGCCTTCTGATCTCCGCAGCCGATCCCCGAAAGAGTTTCACCGAATTCAACATTTGCAGCAGCTTTCCCGGCGGCTGTAAATTTCGAATGCCATCAGATGCGTTTCGATGCTGTCTTTGCTTTGGAACTCCATCACCTGTTCGAGGGGATCCTCTAATCGGGTCAGTTTGTCCAGCTTCTGGATCATCGCCTTGGTTTGTATTCCACTACTTATTGTATTCTTCCTTTAAAAAAAAAATACATCCGAACTGTCAAATGAAATACGTTGCCAAGCATGCCAGTATTCACAAGCAAACAAAAGTCAGTACGGTGACTGGCACTCTCTTTACTGCTGGCACAGCTGCGGCATACGAGAAACACACTGAGACAAATTTGGTACAAAATAAAAGTATAGAGTGACCACCCCTCGCCTATTATTCACGTTTACTCCATCGATGCAACCCCTCTGGAACGTGTTCAGTCCATTCGCGATTTGGGTGTTATAATTGACCACAATCTGAGGTTCAATGATCATATTTCTACCATAAAGGGTGTCCACGATGAAATTGCCACACTATGAAATTGCTCTCACTTTTTAACCGTTGGGTAGAATTTAATGAAAATTTGGGTGGATTTAGTTCATAGTGCATTATTTACATCCTGCAAGTTTTAAAGTCCTGTGATCAAAACTCGCGGAAATGGAGTCGTAAGAACAGCTCGTGCGTGATAAAATCTTGCGCATTCATCACGAGAACAAGGATCTCTCGCATCGTTCCATCGCTAAAACGTTGGGAATCGCGAATTCCACGGTGTCGCGAGTGATTAAGCGGTTCGAGGAACGGTTGACCACCGATCGGAAGCCCAGAAGTGAAGGAAAAAGTAATCCGTACAACACCAAAAATCACAACCGCGTAGTTGGGGCCTTCAACCGAAATCCGAACGCCTCCGTTAGAGATGTGGCTAAGAAGCTGCACCTAAGCCGAAGTTTTGTCCAGAAGGCCAAAACTAAGGCTGGGCTTCGAACGTTCAAGGTACAAAAGGCCCCTAATCGCGACGAAAAGTAGAACAAGTCCGCCAAAACCCGTGCCACGAAGTTGTACCTCAACATGCTGACGAAAGTTGAATGCTGCATCATGGACGACGAAACATATGTGAAGGCCGACTTCAAACAGATCCCCGGCAACCTGTTTTCACGGCCAAGGATAAGTTCAGCGTTCCGGAGCATGTCCGCACTCAGAAGATGTCCAAATTTGCGAAGAAATTCCTGGTTTGGCAAGCCATCTGCACGTGCGGGAAGCGGAGTGCACCTTTCGTGACCCAGGACACGATGAACGGCAGGTGTACATAAAAGAGTGCCTCCAGAAGTGGCTGCTTCCTTTCCTGAAGACCCACAACGTCCCAACAATCTTCTGGCCGGATTTGGTCTCATGCCACTACTCCAAGGACGTGCTGAAGTGGTATGCGGACAATAAGGTCAATTTCGTGCCGAAAATGTTCAACCCTCCCAACACTCCGGAGCTCCGCCCCATCGAGAAGTACTGGGCGATTATGAAGCAGCACCTTCTTAAACGACCTAAGGTAGTGAAGACAGTCGAGGAACTGAAGAAAGTATGGGTTTACATGCAAAAAACGGTTGATTCACAGGTTGTGCAGAATCTTATGGCACGGGGTTAAGGCCAAGGTGCGGGCATTTGCGTATTGACTGTAAATAAAATACGAGTAAAATGGTAAAATGAAGTTTTATAGTTATTTCTCAATCCCTGAAAATTTGATGGCAATCGGATGAAAACTCGAATTTTGCGAATCAATTTTGTGTGTGGCAATTTCATCGTGGACACCCTTTAACAGCTAAAGGTTTCTCTGTTCTAGGATTCATCCATCGCAACGCTTCGCAATTCACTGACGTTTATGCGTTGAAAGCACTGTTTTGCGCGTTGATGCGTAGTATTCTCGAAAAAGGTTCTCCAATAAGGTGCCAATATCATGCGGCTGAAGTGATTCGCATTGAACGTTTACAAAAACAATAAACGAGTGCACGGGTGAACTTTTGTTCATCTACTGAAAAAAAAATTGACACAACAGCGGGGCCCTGTTTACTAAAAATGAACACATGAATAATGCTCCCGCAACATTCGAAAAGGGCCTATCAATTGTAAATAATTTGCTAGATCCTTTTCACGAGAACCGAAGTACGCCCACGCAAACCAAGAGCACTATCGAGAAGGGGAAAATTTCCTGTGCTCGATGGTGTTGTTAGTTTGCGTGAGCGTATTCGGTTCGCGCGAAAAAGGCTTAACAAGTTTTGTGTATATAAGTTGATAGACCCGTTTCAAATGTTACGTGAGTATTATTCATGTGTTCATTTTTAGTAAACAGGGCCCCGCTGTTGTGTCACTTTTTGTCGAGTGAGTGAACTCAAATCCATCCGTGCACTCGTCTATTCGTGCGATTCGTTCTCCGTCATCTTCCGTGGAACGATCCTGTTCATCTTTCTGAGGCATGCTGTCAACTTATTGACCTCCAGTTGCTATCAGCGAGACGCCTCCAGACACAGCGGATGTTCATATTTGACCTTCTAAAGAACAACTTCGATTGCTCGACCTACTTCAGCAAGTTTAATGTGCCCCATCGTCAACTTGGAAATTCGGCCTTACCCAACTAACAATTTTCACAATGTAAACGCTTAAAGGAGCAGGATCCAGGGTTTGGAAAAATTTAATAAATTAATATTTTTAAGATTTCATGTTTAGACAATTGTATGATCCTGGATTAAGAAATGTCTTCAAGACTGAGTGTTTTGTGCCGATTATTGTACTTATAGATTGTTGACCACTGTTGTACTGCGGGAAGAATATATGTTCATTTATATTGTATTGCTGTTCAATTACCGACCTCGCTGGGCCCGCCGACGGTAGATTGGAATCGAAGAGTTGTGCAGTAGGTGTCGAAAAACTAGATTTTGAGTTTGTCCGTTAAAAAGACATACTTTTGGAAATCGAGACTTACAGATACCCGTGCTGTGACTGCGATGAGGTCTTCCTTGCTAGTGTACTGTGCAAAAATGATACAAATGATAAGAATGATACCAATTCGAGTGGTTCTGTTCGACTTGTGTCGGTAAGGAGAGTTCGATCAGACAGTCGTTAGGAGCATCAGGTCAAACTCGGATTCATCCGATGGTTATCGATCATCCAGGAAGTCAGATGGAAAGTAGCGGGAAAGGGGTCGGTAAGGTAGCGAGTAAGGACATATCTTCGACTAAAGGTCACATTAGTAGGGCAGTAGCGCAAGATGAAGATCAGGAGCAGGAAAGTTCACACGATGAAAAGCTAGATGTGACAACAGAAAAGTCAGAAGACCACACTAGATTCTAAAACGATCTTTTGAAATCGTTAAATCTTGGTTCAAGTCTACCCGCGCGCGTGAATCCGATTCAGTACCGAAGAGTAGCCGAATGGGAAAAGTGTGATCCGGAAAAGTGCCTGTGCACCGTCGGCTGAGTCAACTCGAGTTCGTGCGCTGAGAGAACTTCGAGACTTGGAAGAAAGAAGCCGGTTGGAAGAACTCGAGGAGGAAAATCAGCTAAAAATCCTCGAACTCCAACGGATGTGGATTGCTAGATGGAAGAAGGCGCTCGAGCAACGGATGGAGCTGACACAAATTATCAACGGTTCTAACGGCGAATCAGATTCAGTGGCCGAAGTTGATTCGATGGACATCGGAGAAATGGACCCGGAGAAGCAGCTCCCGAAGAGTCTAGGTGCGGTTCGCAAAGATCCAAAGAAAAGGTCCGCCGAAAATGATCTACATGACCTGTTCGATCGTTTCAAGGAACTACTGGAAGATCGGAATGGAAGTGAGCCCCTGAGCCAGTACCAGGAAAGTCCACAATAAATAAGAGTTCAATTCTTTTTGCGAAGCCAGGACTGCCTCGCCCGTTTTTCGAGAAGGAGTCGATTCTCGGTGGTGGAGACTCCGAAGGTGATAAAGTTGTTGCGGAGGGACCAACACGGCTCCAGATATCGTCTCGACAAATGTTTCCGAGGAGCATTGGAATCTTTCTGAGAAAAAAATACACGGTAGGTAGTCATTATGTCAGTAATTTTAAGGAATTATTTTAACAATAAATATTAAAAATTCTAATTATCAAACGTATCCCATGACGAGTTAAAGCTCACTGCGTATGACCATTTCTTTGCACGGTTTGACAGTTCTTGGCTTTACTCTTGGCGTGACTCGTTATACACCGACACTAGTACGTACTGGTCCGTAATGTGAAACTGTAACCTCTACTGGGTCCAAACTCACGTGAATTTTTGTGAATTCCGAATCCCGACACCAGAATTACTCACCCAAATAATTATACAATGTATACTATACTATACATACCTTAGCTCACTCTGCAGATCATAGGCTCCCACCAGTTTCGTTAGGAAAACATAATCCGTTGCATTTGCCAGCTCTGGCAGTTGATTACAGGACACCTAAAATACAAAAAAACACCAATCAGACTTTCGATTTAACAAGCTCATAAACCGTCCCAACTCACCTCCGAATTATAGAGGATATTCTCCGGATCATCATCGTGAAATACGTACACGAACCGACACGAGTACTCATCAGTCTGCATCCTCCAGTACAGGAAAACGTCGCTCTCATCGGTAAAATTGATCCCCTTCAGTTCCACATCCGCACTGACCTCCCGAATGTAGGACATATTATTCTTCAGCTTCAGCATCACCTCGATCGTCTTGAAAAAGTTCTGATCACTCGTATCCTTTGCGCCGTTGCCACCATTGCAGTTCATCGATTCGGTTGCTATTTGAAGCAGTGAAGCTCCTTCCAGATGAGGCGGGGTGGCACATACCGCTCCCAGGACGTTCTGCGAAGCGATCCTCGAGGTGGAAAGCCACTCTACGAACGGTTTCATCGTACAATCGCAAGCCAGGGGGTTGTTTTCCAGGGAAAGACTGTGAAGTGTGGATGCATTCTGGAGAGCATTCTGTGCGATGATGGAGATGTCATTGCCATCGAGCCGGAGCTCTTTGAGAGATTGCAGTGGGGCAACAATGTCGGTCGTAAGAGCTCGTAGGAAGTTGTGGGTGAGATCGAGGACTATGAGTCGCGGTAGGTGTTTCAGGGATGATCCGGAGATGGAGACTATCCCATTTTGGCCTAGATCTAGGACTTGGAGAGATGCCAGCCCGGAAAAGGCGTGATCCTGTAGGACATCAATTTGATTGTGGCGTAGGGAGAGCATCTGCAGTTTTGCTAGTTGTTCCAGGGCGCCATTTTGAATGCTGGTAATTGAGTTTTTGTCCAACTTCAAAATCTCAAGGCCTTTGATGATCGGAAGGGTAGTATTCTTCAGCGGTCCTCGAATGGTGTTGGATCGAAGATCTAATTCTCTGAGGTTTAGGCATGCTTCCAGGGCTTTCATGCTTTCTGGCGATTCTCCCAAACGATTACCGTTCAGTTTTAGATGGATCAAGTTCCGAATAGGAATGAAGCTTTTGGGAGCAATAAGTGAAATCTGATTTTCGCTCAGTTCCAAGAAGGAGAGCTTTGGAACTGAAATGAAATCTGTGCTTTGAATTGATTTGATCCTGTTGTTCGATAGGTCCAATCGATCGAGCTGAGGAAGTGCAGCCAGAGATTGCATTGGTACTCCAGTCAGTGCGTTGTTTGGTAACCCCAAGGTTTGTAGGGAGTTTTTGATCCCAGCAAACGTCATCCTGTTAACTCGTTTAATCTCACCGGAAGATATCACAAGACCCTGTAGCGACACGCCTTCGAAAATATTCGCATCACTAATAACGGTCACATTCTTGAGGGTGCAATCCAGTAGCGACACCGAGTACCGGGAAGCTCGCAAGCCTTCGGCAATCAGTTCCAGCCCATGAAGATCGCCTCGGCATCGCAGCGTGTGAGGCATATCACATCCACATTCCAGATTGGAATTCTGGGTGATGTTCGGACACTGCCAGTCTCCCAAATCTATCGCTTGGGTAACTAGAGCCGACTTTTTCTCGAATCGCTTCTTCCCCAGCTCCGCTTTGTTCACATACTTCAGCGTACTCCAGGTAACTCGGAAGGCTTCCTTGGCGCTACCTTGATCGCCGGTCGCTGGTTTTGTTCTTTGGTTAGTTTGAATATTACTGCTACTGCTATCACTACTGTTACTATTGACTAAAAGATCGCTGGGAACTATCCTAACTATGGTAGACTCTGTCGCCGTCGGTAGCGAAGGGGAGCTTTGGTCCTTCTGAGGGGTATTTACGGAAAATCTTGGGCCTCCACCGGCGATTCCCGCTGTCATGAATTCGGCTCCACAGGACGAGGCAGTCAGCTGTAGCAGGACTAGACACAGGATGATTTGGAACCTGAGAAAAGGGAAAAGGCAATAATTTTGGGTTAGATTTGGTTTGCAGTGAGGATAGTTTGTATCTCGTGTAAATCAACACTTTTTTACTTTTTTTTGAATTGGATTGTTTGTAGAATAATAGTAGTAATATTAAAGACAATGGGATTAAAATTAAACGATACGGCCGTGTTGTTCTTGTTCATATGAACAAATTTGCTGAAGACAGCAACTTTTAATCTATATTCGAGCAGAGCGTACCCCATTAGGCATTAATACGTTTAGCATGCGTGCGTTAGGCATAAATAAATAAGGGATAATAGTAGTTAAGTATGTTTTTTATATATTGCCAATTCAGAGAAAAAAAAAGCATTTGGTGTCATATTTGACAACCGAAATCGACAACCGCCACTGACAGCTGCTTTAGAATTTCGAGCATTGAACCAACATCTTTCCTTGAAGACCTTGTTTGTATGAATACGCATAAAACATTACAAAACAATAACAAGTTAGATGGAAGTTTGCAAGATAAAGTGTAGAAAGCAGAAGCTATTTTATTTAAAAAGTAACTGAAAACTGCCTGCCAGCGCAAACGTACATGATCCTTCGACCAACCTAAGGACCTCTATACTATTTCATTCAATGGTGGCACCCCTCTTCACAGTTGTTTCGTAAATCGTGCATTTACAGGTGCTTCTGGCACTGCCTGAGTGATAATCTACTGATTGTCCAGCCAATCACGTCGAAAACATCAACCAGTCCATTCCAACCTCGATTCTGGCTTCAATTGAGCATTCGGTTAATGATATTTATTTTCCGGTTGTGATTTTTGTAGTCTATTACGGAAATGTGGTTGTGTCTATACAATTTTGGAATAATTGACAGCTGGGGATGTTTGTTATTCTTTTTTGTGCTATTTCAACAGTTGGAAATTCGTGTAATTTTCAATAGTGACCTATTGAACATTGATAAAGTGTTCGATTCGTAGAAAAATTTCCAATTGATTGGCTTGTTTAGAATTAAAATCCATCCGCTATTTGCAGAGTTATAAGTAGTCAAAACCTGACCACTTTTCGTAACGCGGTCGATTTTGTTTTTTTTTGCAATTGGGGGTTCAATTATGTTGCCGAAAGACGTAATCCTACGTCAAAAATTATAAAAAGCTTAACTAAAAACAAAGGCATATACATTAGAGTGGTTCAAAATATCGATTTGCTCTTCGAAGCTTAATCGATTCTAAATCAGGTCCTGATTATTCTCCCAAAATTTGAGCTCATTTGGTTGCGATCTCATACTGCACTGGCTGCACTCCCTTTGAAGTTTATATGGGGATTTTTATTGGCTAAAGTGAACTTTATGTTAGTCTTTCGCCATCATGATTTACGTATAAGCTTTCGCTCTGTACTTATAGAAAGACTGGAACCGAACCGTGAACCTTGCCATGGACGTTAAAGAGACCACACACATATTTTTTTCGAATAGTCTCATCTATTACCTGCAATATTGCCGCATGATATTTTTCTATATGCCCTTTTCAAAAATAAGGTTGGATTCAAAATGGCGATATGAAGATGCAAAATGGCATTGTCGGTCATAAGGAACGTTTCCGCAAATTTTCAACCAAATCAAAAAATACAAGAATAAACCGATTTGCGAATTCATGGGGAAATGCTCTATACAGCTTTCGGGACCGCTGCTTTGCCGACGTGTTTTGTTTGTAATCTCGGTTCGCCACCTTCACCTTCTTAAATTTCGACAACCCGGCTCGTTTCTTGGCCCACTGCACAGTAGTATGGGAGACATTGAGCTTGCCAGCGACGTCCCGGATGGAGAGGTTAGGATTCCGCTTGTATTTCACCGCCACCTTCTTCGTCGTCGCTGCCACGTCTGGATTACGATTGCTGCCGCTTCCAGGCTTCCTGGTGGTCGACAGACGCTCACCGAACACTTTTAAAACGTTTGTCACGGTCGATTTGGCCACATCCAGCAATTTTGCCAACTTGGCGTGTGAGAACGTCGGATTATCTTGCCACGCGAGCAAAATTTTGACACGCTGCTCCTCTTGCTTGGACGTCATTTTGAAAACTGGAGAGCAAACGGTGAAAACTCATCATAGCAACCATTATATAAGAAAGATTTTCACGTCGGGTTGTATTGGTGCTATATGTGAGAGCGTGTTAGTGAATATCCGAGGAATATACATAACAAATCGATGTCAAACTCATTTTGACAGATCTACTTTCATACATTTTTTAGGTTAGCCAGAGGAAAATAATAAACAACTTTACCCGGCGTTACTCCCGCTAGTGTGAGAGCGTTAAACGTCACTAATCTCTAACACTCAACTTCCAACTGATCGACGAGTTTACGTAGACGTTGACTCAAGTCCGCATTGTCCTGCGTAGGGAGGTACAAACTGACCAATGAGCTTTATTACCGAGATGAAGCAATCGTTTAAGTTGTGTGAGTAAAACCCCTGTACGATACAAGAAATTAGTGACGTCACTACTTGCGTTTACGTTGATTTTTGGGTTTACTAATACAACAATATTTCACGATCTGCTTCACCTCTCTCTGTACCTCATTGCAATCTGAAGGGAACCGGGAAGGGAATTTCAATGCGAGCCGCAACTGCAATGATATCTGTTGATAGTTTTATCGGGAGAAGGAGACTGACCTGTGTATTCCAAGAGCTGTCGATTGATATATATTTGCACCTACCGTGAGTAGCCAATGCAATGGTATTGGCCCTGCAACGTTTTGTCCATGTAGCTGCGGTTCGTTCTGTGAACCTCTTGTATGGCCAGGATGGTCGGAGATTTGGAGCGGATTAAGTCCTCGAAGTCGTGTAGGTTGTGGAAATAGCCGTTCATGTTCCATTGTAGGGCTAAACTGGTTTGCTTCAGAGTAGGGGGTCGGCTGCCAGTCATTGGGGGCCCGATATGCAAACTATTGCTGGGTACAGCTGTATCAGGTGGGGAAGTCAAGGCTCCATCGACGGGAAGTATCGACGAATTTAAAATTTTGTTTGAGGTGATTTGTATAGAATTTAGGTTTTCAAACTTATTTGTGATGAATTCAAAATAGAACTGTGTGAAAGTTAATGATGTTAAAGCAAATTCATGAGAACATTTCAACAGTATCCAAAAGAGATCTATGCAAACTTTCAATATAATTAAAACATAGACAAATGTTGCTGTATTTGTAATGGCTTTTACTTAGTGATTCTGTCGGCACAATTGCATTCGATATTATGGATAGTTTGAATGATTTAAATGTGTATCGCACAACTGGGAAAATTTTCAAAATTTCAGGAAAGTTTGGCAGAAATTTCAATTTTGATAAAATGACGCATTTTAACGTGACCTCTTCGGCCTAATCCTAATGGGCAGAAGGACTTTTGAAAAGAAAACACGCCGATTCATAGTGGAAAATGCGAAAGAAAAACTTGTATTAACTTGCTGACAGAAGCACTCGTGGTGCGAAATACATTCATAATGTGATTTAGGCAGAAGGCTCATAAATTATACCCCAATACTCCTCCTTAATGTATGCAAACTCCAAGGCCGATAGCTGCTCGCAGACGCTGGAACGGTTCCGGAGTTAATCCTTTGGTAAGGATATCGGCTTCCTGCTGCTCAGTTGGCACGTACTTCAATCCGATGCTTCCTCTTTGCACCAATTCCTTCACGAAGTTGTGTTTAACATCGATGTGCTTCAGCTTACTCCAATCCCTCGATTCTTCTACCACCTTGATAGCAGATTGGTTGTCCTCAAAATATAGAACAGGTGTCTTTATCTGGAAACCCAACTCGGTGAGAAGCCGCACAATCCATATTCCTTCGCAAGTGGCTTCACAAAGAGCTATCAACTCAACCTCTGTTGACGAAAGCGATACAGTCCGTTGTTTTCTGGTCGCCCATGTTGTTGTACATCCGAATACTTTGAATAAGTGTCCTGAAACTGATCGCCGGTCGACAATGTCATTCGCCCAGTCGGCATCACAATACGCCACCAGGAAAGCTGCACTATCATCGCCGTTGTATTCCAGTCCGACATCCACAGAGCCCTTGACATACCGCAACACACGTTTCAAATATGTCCAATGTTCCTCTGTCGGACAGCTTTGGAATTGGCTAAAATAGTTAACCGCAGCTGACAGATCTGGACGAGTGGTTAACGTTACATACATCAAGCAGCCTATTAACTCCCTGTATGGCTTCGACGTACGCTGCGATTCCTCTCCTTTCTCCAGTCGAAGGCGACTCTCCATCGGAACGGAACTTGGCTTACACTCGGACATGTTGAACCGTGCTAGCAGATCCAGTAGATACCTTTGTTGGCTAATCCGCAGAACTCTCCGCTCAATGGCCCTTGTAATTCTCATACCAAGGAAACTCGTCACCTCTCCAGAATTCGTCATATCGAACTCCTTCGACAATGAACTCTTTACCGCTAGAATATCCTTCAGCTCGTGTCCAATCACCAAAATATCATCCACGTACAGGATCAAGAAAATCTTCATTCGTCCATCGCCACGTACATACAAGCACTGGTCACCATTCGTTCTCCGGAATCCAAGCTGTGTGACGAAACGGTGGAACCTATCGTTCCACGCTTTCGAAGCCTGCTTGAGACCATAGAGAGATCGATTCAGTCGGTAGACTAGACCATCTCCGCGCTTGAACCCCTCAGACTGAGCCATGAATATTTCCTTGGTCACATCTCCATTGAGGAACGCTGTCCGAACGTCCATTTGATGGACCAGCATTCGCTCCTGATTGGCGACAGCTAGCATCATCCTCAACGTGTCCAACTTCGCGACCGGCGAGTAGGTCTCGGTATAGTCAAATCCGAATCGTTGGCTGAAGCCGCGCGCAACCAATCGAGCTTTGTATCGATCTGGTTCCTGGCCTTCTCCAGGTTTGATCCGAAAAACCCACTTACACGTGATTGCTTCTCGCCCGTTCGGAAGCTTCATGAGCGTCCACGTTTTATTCTTCAGCAGCGAGTTCATCTCCTCCTCGACAGCTACTTTCCACTTCGACCAGTCGGGTCTCTTCTTCAATTCAGCAATAGTACTTGGCAAGTTTCCGACGTACTCCATAGCACCGAGAGCGGTGTCATCCCGTCGCCAATAGCCCTTGCTGGACTTCTGTTTGTCAGGAACGCAGCGGTCTGCACCGCCTCTCCCCAGAACGCACGATCAACTCCAGAATCAAACAACATCGAACGGGCTTTCTCCTCCAACGTTAGATTCATTCGTTCGGCGACGCCGTTCTGTTCCGGCGTGTAAGGTACCGTATACTCCAGCTTGATGCCTTTTCCCTTGCAGAAAGATCGCAACTCCTTGCTGACATATTCTCCACCATTGTCAGAACGCAACCGAGAAATCATCACCCCGAACTTTGCTGTCATTTCCGCTTCGTACTGTTTAAAGCACCCTGCTACTTCATCTTTTGACCGGATCAGAAACACCACAGTAAACCGCGTCCAGTCATCGATAACAGTTGTGAAGTACCTGTCACCATCCCAACCAGTTGGTGTTACTGGCCCACAGACATCGGAGTGGACCAGCTCCAGAACCCGACTCGAACGTCGCTCCTCTCGCAGAGTGAATGGATTTCTGGTTTGCTTCGCTGCCATGCACGGTTCGCGAATAACCGAAGATTTGTCACCGCTGTAACCCTTCATGCCTTTCACCATGCCATTCTTCATCAAGCTCGACAGGTTCCTCTCGCCAAGATGGCCGTAGCGGCGGTGCCACAATTCCGTCGCCTTGCAAATCTTCCCCGAAAAATATACAGCATCGCACTCATCTTGTGTGTAGAATTTTAACACGTAGAGTTTCTCGTTCCTTTGACCAGTAGCCACGACCACCGAATCCTTCAGAATCTCAACCTTGCCTTCTTGAAACACCACCTTCATTCCAGCCGATTCGATCTTGCTAATCGAGAACAAGTTGCACCGTGCCTCCGGAATGTAGACAACACCAGTCACAGTTGCATCGATAGTTTTATCGCCGATCACCGACACAACGGGAACGTCGCCGGCATATTTTGCCGTCACCCATTCACCACTCTTCGCTACGGCAATCTTCATGGGTTGGTCGAGCAGCTCCAGCTTCGAGAAAAGCTTTCTGTCGTTACAGATGTGTTTGGTGGCCCCCGAATCAATAAACCATCGGATTTTGTTTTCCTGGCACAGCGACACTTGGCTATCCGTGAGGAACATCACACCGCTTTTCTTGCCCTCAGCAACGTGAGCACTAGACTTACCGGAGGATTTGTTTTCAACTTTCTTCCTCTCAGGACAGTCAGCAAGCTTATGTCCCTCCTTCTGGCAACCAAAACATCTGAAGACTTTCTTCTTTTGCTTTTGTTTGCGACCTGTACTTCCAGAAAACGCCGCCGAGTCGTTCTTCGCCTCTTTAGCATCCGATGCTGCTCCTTTCCGCTTGATTTCCTCGTCGAGAAGACGGCATTTTACGAAGTCCATCGTCAGCTGCTCTTCCGGTTGGGATTCAATCGAAGTAACAACAGCATCATACCATAGAGGTAACTCTAAGACCACTGGGTCCCGAAGAAAATCATTATTATTTTTAACTCACTCAGTACCAGAACAACGGTCCCAAGCAGTCCCAAGCTATTTCACTCACCCCTGCATGTTCTGCATGAATCCACACACCCCTGATGTTATCTGTCAAACTTTCATAGCGAATCAAAACAAACATAGTGTAGTAATAGAATTTCAACTAGAATAGGGTACGTTAATCGTTTGCTTGGGACCAATAGGCTACTAAAGTGGTGAGCCAATTTAAAATCGTTAGTTTCGTATTAATTGTTGATCATACTGCGATCCGAGCGAAAGCAACAATCGACACACGGCATCGATATCATTCTTGTACATCCGCATCATTCGATCAAATTTCACGAAATGCTCCTGCAGCGATCCAGACGTGTACCGTAACTCATGCAGTTGCCGATTCAGATGCATCCGCTTCGCTACACTCTTCCGTTCGAAGATTTTCACGAGTCCGTCCCACATCTGCTTGGGGGTTGTTTTTCCTTGCAGGTGCTCCAACTGATCGTCGTGAATCCGAGAGACGATCATCGATTTGCAGTGTTTCTCCTTCTTCTGCCGTTTCTCCAGGGCTTTCCTCTTCTGTTGCTGCACTTCCGCCGTGTCCGCATCTTCGATTTTCAATTCCGCCACATTCTCAATTTCGTTCTCGATGCATTCCACCAAGTCGAACTCCTCCAACAAGGTCAGCATACGAAATTTCCATGCGGGGAAATTCGTCCCGTCGAACAACGCCACGCGGTGGCAGACTTCCTTCTCGTCGCCCATTCTTTGCACTCGAAATAACGACCGAAAAACTTACAATCCGACCGATCCGCGACCAGTAACCGTTCTTAGGCCCATAACCTAATGGGCAGAAGGACTTTCGAAAAGAAAACGAGCCGATTTATAGTGGAAAATGCGAAAGAAAAACTTGTATTAACTTGCTTACAGTTGTTCGATTGTTTTTTGTTTTTTACATGACTGACAGAAGCACTCGTGGTGCGAAATACATTCATAATGTGATTTAAGCAGAAGGGTCATAAATTATATCCTAATAAATCCCACTCGGCTAAATAGCAATTGTGATAATAGCACTTGGCCAAATGGCGTTCAGTCTGTTGGCATCTGGCCTAATCCTTCAGCTTTAAAAAAATTGTTTTGCCCATAGCAACATTGATCTATCAGCTAGTATCTTTTTGATGAACGGTTTTTAAGGTTTGACGCCCGTCCAAGTATAACAATCATATACGTATAAACATTCGAATGTGATAACATAAGAAATAAAATCATATGCTGAAGTCAACAATTTATTACAATCATTATTTTCCGAACATCTCCCAGCATCGCTGTTGACTCATCCTTCTATTTACACTTCTCTCGAGACACATTCGAGTCCATTATTTGCATAATCCGTCCCGCCGACTTCCGACTTTTGGTGTTTGCATTTTGAAGCTTCCCCTCCTCTGTCTCCCGCCATCTCACTTCCAACACATGGAAATATCCGGTAGTGGTTTCTGCTTGCACTTGTTGACCCATCCCTTCCAGTAGGAGAAACCTTGATCCTTGTATATGAGCTTAGCACAATCAATGTCATCGGAAATATCATCGTTCAGGAATGCTGCCGCAGCGTGAATGAAATTCAGACATAAAGAACCCTAATTAATCATAAGAAACAACGTTGGATGGGAGACCGTCCCTCCTTTCTCGGTAACGATCAGCAGGAGATAAGACTCGTAAGTGGACCTTACCTTCACAGTTTGTGTTGCACTTTCCCCCCTTACGGCCCGCACGGCACCACTCCTTGCTGTTGATCTGTTTGAATACATAAAAAGTGAGGTCGGTTATTTGAATAAAGTAGGGTAAATGCTCCTATAGTTGCGGTACGTTAAATGCGTTAGGTTCCTATAGTTGTGTATTGAGTCTCCATGCACAACTATAGGAACCTAACGCTTCTAACGTACCGCTACTATAGGAGCGTTTCCCCTACTGTGTTACCTGACGGATAACGAATATACGTTGCGTACGAGTACCCCGAAAACAACGTATGACTCGTCTAATTTTGCATAGCATTTGCAATGTAAAATTAGCCGAACTATACGTTGTATTCGGGGTACTCGTATACAACGTATATTCGTTATAAGTCAGGTAACACAGTAGTACTTACCTGAAAGATACCATAGCTGGTAGTCTTGTTGTCCAAAGTCACCTCCTTCGATGTGTCGCCGCCACTTTCGGCATTGATCATGCAGATCCCTGGAACAGTCAGATGCCTTTAAAGTTAACTTGGTTGGATTGTTGCCCTTCACTTACAGTTCGAAATCAATGTCCTGGAAATCTGCTGACCATCCAGCAGCTTTACCAGGGGACATTTTTGGTACACCTTCGCCTCAGTCGGCACCGAATGCATCGACAACAGCAAGAAGACGCAGCCAATGATAATGAAGTTTGTTCTGAACGCCATCTCAAGAACCCTCTTGCCAGCGATGAGCAGCCTACCAGACTGTTTGGCTGTCGGATTGTATTACCGTAATTATGAACTGTAACAGAACCGGCAGAGACGTTACTCCATCGTTTGTTTATGTACTAGACCCGTATAGCGATTGCGAAACGATTCACCCCGTTGACCTGCTGTTCGCGCTACAGAGCCGATGCTAAAACTGCATCGACAGTTGATTATGGTTATTGCGCTTGTTTATGATATTGTTCTAGGGAATTCCGTTTTTTTATTAGTCTGGGTGAGCCCGAACAAATGGAGCCGCCTGACTACGAATTAAATTTATTCTAATGACTGCCTTCTACGTCAACCGGGATTGATTATGGATTGATTGAAACCCTTTCAGAAGAAAGCACTGATAACCTTATAAGAATCTATATTAATGTTTTAGACACTGCATACAACGCTTTTGATTACTTACACTGCACTATAGCTGGGCTCGTTCCAGACTAAACTGAGTGTGAGGCGCAAATTTTAAAATATATCGTGTGCAAATGATCTTGAACCGGTTGGTACACCTCTCTCAGCGTAGGGGAACTAGGGACAAGACGGTCACCCTAACGATAGTGCGTTGTTATATGAGATTCCGTGTCTTCATGTATCAACACTGTAATTAAAATTAAACCCAATCAGAAAATGTTCAGATTTTTTTCAAAATGTCATGTCGTTCCTGCTCTACGGGGCAAGGGAGCCACTCTTTTGAGACAAAAAGGCCATAGGTCTAAAATGAAGTGAAACTGATAAATGTTCATTTATAAACAACAACTTACTATTCTTAAGCATCCCAGCAACTGCTTTTATGGTTTATTTCACTAAAATGTTGACTTAACGATTTTTTTTTTATACAAAACATATAAACCAATGTAGGGGTGCCAGTCTAGAGTAGTTAATTTTTAGGAATATAGCTTTTGATCAAAAAAAGATAATATTTAATAATTTATTCTTATTAATGTTTCAATCAAACATCAGGAGACGAACCAGCCCAGGGCTGAAAGTCTCCTTAATAAAGATATAAAAAAAAAATCAACCATCAATAGTAGCGTCTTAATGCAGAAATTGTGAAATAAATATTTGATTTTCAAAACATATTGAGGGTGGCACTTTTGCCCCGGGTGACCTTCTTGCCCCTAGTTCCCCTACAAAACACAAGCACGTACACTTTGAAACAAACAATCGCTTCTAATAAAATGATGATACTAAAAAAGAGCTGGAATATCGCTGGTGTGGGAACGATCAATCGGCAGACGTTAATGTGCGTTGATTGAAACCATGTTCACCTCTGTCCCGGGCTGGCTGAGGGGTTTCCCCAGAATTGTATGATGGCTAATGATTGGCTCTGCCAAAGATTGCTGCGCTGCCTGCAAGTGCGTATCACAAGTCACAAGCGTGTCACTCACAACTCCACAACAATAACAGAATCCTCTGCATCGGCGTTGCCAGGACAGTTACTGGAATTTGCCTAACTGCAGGGGCTTACACGTAACGTGGGTAGATCATCTTTTTATGGTACGTTACGGGATGTAAGATTTACCACCGATTCCTACTGTGTTACCTGACTTATAACGAATATACGTTGTATACGAGTACCCCGAATACAACGTATGTTCGTCTAATTTTACATTGCAAATGCTATGCAAAATTAGACGAGTCATACGTTGTGTTCGGGGTACTCGTATACAACGTATATTCGTTATAAGTCAGGTAACACAGTAGTCTTGACTACTTCAAACTAGGGGTACAGGATTTTTCAGTAACCAAAGGAACACATTTTTGTCCTTGTTACTTTTTATGCCTTGTTGATAATGATAAGTCCTCGGGTTGCTTGGACCGAGGATGATCTTGAAACAAGGAAAAAATGAGTTAATTAGTCTCCACCTATGTGATTCCTAATATTCTATAGGCCTTTTTAATGCAGCACCAACGTAGAGTGCACCACGCGAGTTCGAAAAGAAACGTCAACCAAACCGTTTGTTTACTTCAGAATAACTATTTTTCACAACGCAAATTAGAGCATTTTTAATTCAATATCTTGCCAATTTCCATCGGTAATTGTCTTATTGTACGATTTTTCCCAGATTTGAACTGATTTGTACCTTAACTTTTGGCAAATCAAAGTTGGCACTCGTGGAGAATAGAAGAACTATGAGAGTGATGATGGTTTCAGAATTTTCCACGGGGAGGTATACGAGTGCAATCTTAAAATGCTTTTATTTTGCAAATGGAGCATTTTATTTAAATCTGGTTGCTGCTACAGTTGTAGAAAAGCTGAAATCTATGTCTACACATAAAAATCTGAAAAGATATTATTTTTTCTATATTATATGTCTATTAAGTAGTCCTTAAGTTTTCTACCAGCGTAGCATTAACCAGATTTAAATAAAATGATCCATTTGCAAAATAAAAGCATTTAAAGTTTGCCCTCGTATACCTCACCGTGTAAAATTTTGAAACCATCATCACTCTCATAGTTCTTCTATTCTCCACGAGTGCCAACTTTGATTTACCAATTCACACACAAGAAATCCGGAAGATCATAACCACTAAGGCACTTTTCTAATTTTCCATTTTTCTCAACAAATATATTCCTGAACACCAGCAGGATCTTTGCAAAAACGTTACAGAATTAAATTTTTCAACTGTAAATCAAGTTTTGGAGCATCTCTAATAAATCAATTTATCAGGAAAAGTAAAAAAGTGTTCCGTTTCCTGTATCACGGTAGACATTTCTGCTCACAAAACTCTTTCTGACGTTTTCCTATTCATCACCAGAGGCTGAATCGATCGTTTAGTTTCTATTAAAAAGGCGTATTCGTTGTTCCCTAGTTTGAAGTGGTTAAGACTAGGGTTCTGATGCATGGTCATTATCGGTGTCATTGCTTATTTTTGCTAAGGAATCCAATTTTGACTGACAAAGAGGCGCTCCTTTGGAGGGTGTTTCAACACTCCGAAGGGTATAAATAGCGGGACCTTTCAATTAGATGAAGGCAAGAATGACAACTGTATCAAAACCAAATACTTCATCATTTCTCAATAGTGATAGAGTAATACGACATGCACTAAACTAAGTACACACTTAATCTAGCTCGGTAAAATTTCCAACATTTACATTTACTTTTCTTGATATCTCTTCAAAATATCTGTTTGTTAGCTGATATCTCAGCTTGTTATTTGTTAGCTGAGTCTCGGCAAATGTTTTACTGAATCTCAGCAGAAACTGCTCGGCTGTTGGAATCTCGGCGAAAAAATTTAAGTGTGTATACGGGATATACACTGAAGCCTCCATTTACGAAACAAAACGGGGGTTCGTAAATCGAATGAGTGCGTAAAAAAACCTCGTTATTTGGGATTTACTTCGTAAAAAGAAAACTCGTTATGTATTTGGGATTTACTTCGTGAAAAGAGGTGTTTGAAAATATTGTCAAATACCCCACAATATGGGTATTTTTGGAATCAGGGTGACGTGTAGGGACCGGAAATCGATGTCTGACGCCATTTTGAAATCCAAGATGGCGGCTTCCGGTTACAGAAAAACTTGGAAATTCTGTTAAATACCCCACAATATGGGTATTTTTGAAATCGGAGTGACGTGTAAGAACCGGAAATTTATGTCTGACGCCATTTTGAAATCCAAGATGGCGACATTGATTTCCGGTCCCTACACGTCACTCCGATTCCAAAAATACCCATATTGTGGGGTATTTGGCAGAATTTCCAAGTTTTTATGTTACCGGAAGCCGCCATCTTGGATTTCAAAATGGCGTCAGAAATCGATATCCGGTCCCTACACGTCACTCCGATTCCAAAAATATTCATATTGTGGGGTATTTGGCACAATTTCGAAGTTATTATCTTACCGGAAGCCGCCATCTTGGAACTCAAAATGGCGTCAGACATCGATTTCCGGTCCCTACACGTCACTCCGATTCCAAAAATACTCATATTGTGGGGTGTATGACAGAATTTCCAAGTTTTTATGTAACCGGAAGCCCCCAACTTGGAATTCAAAATGGCGTCAGATATCGATTTCTGGTCCCTGCACATCACCCTGATTTCAAAAATACCCATATTGTGGGGGTATTTGGCAGAATTTCCAAGTTTTTATGTAACCGGAAGTCGCCATCTTGGATTTCAAAATGGTGTCAGACATTGATTTTCGGTCCCTACACGTCACTCCGATTCCAAAAATACCCATATTGTGGGGTATTTGACAGAATTTCCAAGTTTTTCTGTAACTGGAAGCCGCCATCTTGGATTTCAAAATGGCGTCAGACATCGATTTCCGGTCCCTACACGTCACTCCGATTCCAAAAATACTCATATTGTGGGGTGTATGACAGAATTTCCAAGTTTTTATGTAACCGGAAGCCCCCAACTTGGATTTCAAAATGGCGTCAGATATCGATTTCTGGTCCCTGCACATCACCCTGATTTCAAAAATACCCATATTGTGGGGGTATTTGGCAGAATTTCCAAGTTTTTATGTAACCGGAAGTCGCCATCTTGGATTTCAAAATGGTGTCAGACATTGATTTTCGGTCCCTACACGTCACTCCGATTCCAAAAATACCCATATTGTGGGGTATTTGACAGAATTTCCAGGTTTTTATGCTACCGGAAGCCGCCATCTTGGATTTCAAAATGGCGTCAGACATCGATATCCGGTCCCTACACGTCACTCCGATTCCAAAAAATACCCATATTGTGGGGTATTTGGCAGAATTTCCAAGTTTTTCTGTAACTGGAAGCCGCCATCTTGGATTTCAAAATGGCGACAGACATCGATTTCCGGTCCCTACACGTCACACCGATTCCAACAATACCCATATTGTGGGGTATTTCACAGTATATCCCAGTTTCCCAAAATCACAAAAAAAAACTCGTTAGGTATTTGGAATTTACTTTGTACAAAGAAAACTCGTTATTTGGGATTTACTTCGTAAAAAGAGGGACGTAAATTGAATACTGCGTAAAAAAAGACTTCGTAAACGGAGGTTTCAGTGTACTACAATAGATCAAATTACTGGTCGCAGTGGTATTATGTCCCGAACAGAGGAAAAAAACTACGGGGACTTTCAGGGGGCTGTAGTCCCCTCTATAATTGTTACTACAACTTACTTATTTTCCTGACGCATAATTTTTTTTTTCGCTAATTACCTAATTGAGTTATTCGAAAAATAAATTTAGCACCCCTAAGATTTTTCTTTAGTTACGCCAATGGTCACAGGACATCTGGTTCAGTTGAAATATAAAATCTGTAAAAATCTGGAATACTCTGAAAAAACTAAACAATCAACAACCACGTATGAAAACAATATTTTTCAAAATTATTTTCCCGTCAAAGTTTGTTTTAAAATAATACTATTGAATTGGTGTTCCAATTTCTCGAAAAAAAAAGTTCAGTGCAGTCATCTATTTTTTTTTATTGTCAGCATGTCAATTTCTGAGTGTTTCAAATATTTTAGGAACATCTCTTTTCAAGGCAATGTTTTGCAAAATTGATATTTTTTAAATTTATTTATTTGCACAGGCTCAATAGAAAAAACTTTACAGTGCCATGTTATCATTTGCGTTATACATAATTAATGTCTTAAATCAAGAGTTAAATTAATTGTACCGCATACTCACGGTCGTCTTCAGGTTAGTGGATGGGATGAGGGAGAAAGAGGTACACAAAATACAAACTAAACACAAGGTTAATCAAACTTACAATCTAAGGTTAAAATTCTTCAAGAAAACATATATGAGTTTCATAAACTCCAGATCAAGACTCAGCACAATACAATCTATTCCACAGCCGCAGTCAGTTTATGAGCAACAAGAGGGACGCGCATTTTTGCCTGTGGACTTGGAGACATACTTCAAGTCCCCGCGTACATCGTACGGGTTAGGCAAAAATGTGCGTCTATCTTGAAAAACTGTCGCATTAATGGCCCTTCGCTCACTTTCAACCTCTATTCAATTTTCATACTGCCGTACTCTAACGGAACTATCCACCTACCATCTTCTAAAGATCATTCTCTAGCTAATAAATCATCACACTAAAGCTTCATGTTAGCATTTCCAACCAACTCTGAAAATCGTTAACTTCGCGTATGAAGTAACATAAAAACACTTTGAATGTTTTAAAAGTGTTCGGGGAGCGTCTGTCGACCACCAGGAAGCCTGGAAGCGGTGGCAATCGTTATCCGGACGTAGCAGCGACGACGAAGAAGGTGGCGGTGAAATATAAGCGGAATCCTAACCTCTTCATCCAGGACGTCTCTGGCAAGCTCAAAGTCTCCCATACTACTGTGCAGTGGGCCACGAAACGAGCCGTGTTGTCGAATCTGCTCACAAAGTTCGACTGTGTCGTCATGGACGACACGAAGGCGGATTTCAAGCAGCTTGCGGGACAGGAGTTTTATACCGCATCAGGAAAAGGGAAGGTAGCTGAATTTTTCAAAACCATCAAACTATCGAAGTTCCCGCAAAAATATCTCGTCTGGCAGGCCATATGCACGTGTGGCCCAAAAAGCGACATTTTCATTACTACGGGAACCATTAATCAAGAGATCTACGTCCAGGAGTACCTGGAAAAGCGGCTGCTTTCATTCCTAAAGCAACACAATAGACCTGTGCTGTTTTGGCCGGACTTGGCGAGCTGCCACTATGGGAAAAAGGCAATCGAGTGGTACGATGCGAACAACGTGGTTGTGGCACCCAAAGACCACAACCCTCCCAACAGCCCAGAACTCCGCCCTATCGAACGGTATTCGTATCGGAATCTAAAAAAAAAACTAATAAATCCATGGAAAACGAGCAGCATTTTAAATCTAACTGGCGGCGAATAAGGTCGCTGAGACCACTGTGCAAAATTTAATGGAAGGGGTTAAGCGGAAGGCACGGCAGTTTGGATTTGGCAAACCAAACGAATAAACGAACATTTTTCCTTTAAATATATGAATTGAACTACCAAAAGAAAAATGATAAGATTTTTGTGATATGAATTTTGACTGAAATAAACGATTTTTTTGTCGACCAATTTTTGCGCGTTCGCAGCCATAAAATCCAAAACGCACATCAATGATTAGTTAATACCTGTATTGTAATTATGTTGAAAGCCCAGGTGTTCCCCGTTTAGGCACCCTCTGCCATCAAAGAGATGAACCAGCCACTGACTGAAAATCTCTATAATAAAGCAAAACAAATAAAAATCATGGAATTCATCCTCGGATTTAAAAAGGATTTATTTAAAATTCACTAGAATAGGAAGGTTGGTAAATGTCATTTTCAACAAAACGAGCCTCGGAGAGGTGCATTAAAATTGTATGTATCAATCACTTCCCGGTACATATTTGTATAATGCAAAAACTGGTCCGCTATCACAATCACCATCGCGAGTCTGCGCGATCCACTCCAGTCCAGTTCAAACAATGTACGAATCGAACCAAAGCATCGAAATGCTCTCCTGCTGAACAAACCGCTTCGGTTGTTCTGGAAAGTGTGTAAATACATGCAAAACAACAGAAACGTAAAAGCTTGACTACCCCATCGACAGTCATCGGCAGCTGACTGCCCGATTAATTCTCCATACCAGTAAATATCATCACTCTCCTGAAATCGCGACGTAGCTCGCGGCTCAATTACTCGCGCCACCGCGCACCGTCGCCGGACACGTTTTTGCTTTTGCCAAACAACTTAATATGAATACACAGGTAAGTAGGTATGGGTGTGGGTAGAATTGGGTGAGAGTACCGCTGAGAGTATGATCGCTGCCGACTTAGTTGATTACATCGGCGGTCGCAAAGTCATTATCATCTTCACTTTCGTTCGGTCAACCGGCCACTTGTGGCGTGTCCCATTCCGTGTGAGTTTGCGGTAATTAGAGAGTTGGGTTACGTTCTTCGAAAGGGGAGAAGATAGTTTATTTAGACTGATAGGGAAAAGGGTTCTTTCTCCCAGTGAAGTGTTTCCCAATAAATATCTATGGCAATCGAAGATTGCCACTTAGACGCGGTGTAATTGCCAGTGAGTGCAGAGCGCGGTTTGTGCAGTGCAAATATAGTCCGCCGGGAGGCAGCTTTCTCAACTTGCTTAGGTGGGTTCAATTTGAATGTAAGTTCGACCACACCTGACATGACTGAGACGTGGTTAATAAGTGGAAATTCCAACGCTAATTTGAATTTGTATCGTTCTGTAGAAGTGAAATGAATATTCAAGTGCGGTGCTAAGGCACTCTCGAACTAGGTCTTGCAGGGATGTTTGCAGTTCACAAAAGCGCTAATATATCAACGAGGCTAGTATATCAAAGTGCAAATACACAAATAACGTGTCACCGAAAAAATAGCGCCTTGTTGTTACCATGAGCGTATTTGTCTCGTTGTTTTTGCTTTTTGTTTTTCATGCCACCAAATTTAGTATTCCCCGTCATGTGCGTTCAAGGTAAACCCCGAAAAGGGAGAAAGAGCTGTCGCGATCGCGAGAGGATTAGAAGCAAAACAAAACGCGAGGTAGTTCGATGATCGCTTGTTGTGTTATGTGTTGTTACGAATTAATATTCTTATTCTTCGTTGACGTTTGGTAAAATATTGTAAAAGATGAGGAAGATTCTTCATGATGGCTTCACAGTTTCTTAACATCTTGAAAAGCCAATGCGATCTAAGATTCTCGACGAAATAAACACAGGATTGAAGCTACATGGTAATAAGTGGCCGTTAGTTATATGATGCAATCTATTCAGTGACCTTAGTAGAGTAAGATGGGGTAAGATGCACCACCACTGAATGATGACTTTTATTAAAAATTTTGAATAAATTTTCAGTATATTTTCTTGGATTTATTATGCAGCATTGATAGTTCAGATGTTCCTAGACAAATCCTCGAACAAGAGGGAAAAAGTGTATTTTAAACGTCAAAATGTGATTGGCCCTGGGTATGCATCTTACTCCACTTTACACTTTAGATACATCATGTAGATCTTTGTAAGACTGATTCTAGGTTTCAACGCATTCTTGGGCCGAAAATAGGAAAAGTAATCCCTTATTCAGTGTTTTCTGTAGATTATAAAATGAGGAATGATTATTCAAATTACCAAAAAATGTACAAATGCAAAAAATATGCAGGCTTAAACGACAAGTCTGACATGTTATAAGCCTATCTTGATGACATATTCCTAGTCGATAATTATTATAACATGTTATAACTCTGCAGTCTGAACGTACTATTAGAAAGATCTCCATTGCGGTAGAAGTACTCAAAGAATCCAAAGTTGAGATCAGGCACAATGTTCGTGCTGGGAAGTAGATACTTTTCCGACGTTTGTGGTGTAAATGTGTGTGTTCATGTACATACAAACTGCAAAAAAGAGGCACGCAGCCGTATAAGTGCAAGAAACTGTGTACACATACGTTCGTTTTTGCACTTATGCTTAGATGTCTATTAGCCTAAGATGAAGAAGAAGACGAAGAATAGCAGGTTTTGTTTGCTTACGTCCTCTGGGGAATTTTTGGAGATTTTTTTTTGTCAATCTCATTACCGCAGTAATTGAGTGATGTTCAAGCAATACGTTGCGTAGTTAGATTTCCACTAAGGCAAACGTCAGAAGCAGAGATGCCAGATTTTTTTTTCAGAAGGCTGTGAAAAATTAAGCTGAACATTGCATTAGGTCCAAACTAATATTGACAGATTATCTTCGTCGACTTTCTCTTGGTATCCCTACGACCATGTTAAGACATTCTCATGTATTTTTAGCACTCAGATCGATAAAAGAAGCTTTTATCTAGCATCTAATACGACTTATTAACGTAAGAGAAAGTCGACGAAGAGAATCGATCAATGTTACTTAGGACCTAATGCAATGTTCAGTTTGAAATGTCTGTTAATTTCAGAAATGTCTGTAATTGAGTTGCATAAAATAAGCAGAAGTTTTGCGTGTGATGGGGGGTCATAAAGTAGATGCGAAGTTTTAAATGGCTGTAAAAGTCATGTTAGAGCAAAACAGACCTTTTTTTTTTCTTTATTAAAGAGATTTTTAGCCATAGGCTAGTTCATCTCTTAACGCAAAACAGACCTGCTTTTAACGAATTGGACCTCATTGAAGTTGGGAATGCATCTATTTACGCCATATACGTTAACAGCAATTAATGAAAAGATAAATACAGATTATACGGCAAATGAGTTTGACACAAAGTTCAGATTAGGTCACTTATATTCTTCAAAACGTAGTTAACTCAAAGGCTGAGTACAACTTCCCGAGCTTTTACAGAAATATGTTTTTTTAATATGAGCAACATCTCGATGTACAGGGGTTGTGAGAAATATAGGGTACTAGCAAAATTTTGTCGAACTTTGAACTGTTGTAACTTCGTTAAATATTGTTCGATTTTCAATCTTCAAGAAACATTCGACTAGAAAACTAATCAAATTTTATGGTGGGGCAATGGAAGTGACCATGGTTACCGGATACCGGAGATATTCCGGGTTTCCTGAGGGCATGTCTAAATTGCTAAATTTGTGATGATTTTTTCTCAAGGTGTCCGTTACTAATCTGTGTTTTTTGTTCATACACCAAAAATAGAACCATTTGCAAAGCAAATGACGCACCAAGAGCTAAAATCGGCTCAGAATCAACCAAGATATGGCCATTTCCCTGGAATCGGTCCTGAGGGAAGGTTCTGAGTGCGGTCAGTTCTTTCATTCACTCAAAACATGCCGTGCGACACCTATTTCTTCAAAGTTTTTTTTACCAATAGGCTTTCTATAGACTTTGAATGGATCATCGACTACATTGGCCACTTCCGGAACCACCGGAGTGCCCTCGGGGGAACCAGTAGTAGGGGACAAATTCATTTTTACAAAAATCATGCCGTGTGACACCTCTTTCTTCGTGGTTTTTCATCAGTAGGATTTCTTAAGACTTTAATTGGATTATTGACCACATTGGCCACTTTCGGAGCCACCGAAGTACCTCCGGGGAACCTGAAGTAGGGTACAATTTCATTTTTACACCAAAACATGCCATGCGACACCTCTTTCTTCATGGTTTTCATCAGTAGGCTTTCTATAGACTTTGAATGGATCATTGACCACATTGGCCACTTCCGGAAACACCGGAGTACCCCCGAGGGAACCTGTAGTAGGGGACAATTACATTATTGCACCAAAACATGCCGTACGACACCTATTTCTTCATGGTTTTGCATCAGTAAGCTTTCTATAGGCTTTAAATGTAATAACACAATTTGCTGACCCCAACCTTTTTGCCTTTCTCGTACACCAAGGTGTATACCGCTATGATATCAGTTGAAAACACAATTTCGTTCCAAAACCCGGAGAGATGAATGGAATATCCCAATAGACTCATCTCAGCGGGATCCTTTGAAAGAGTTCGTTATGGGGTTCCCTCTCGGGTTCCCTTTGATTTTTCTTGATTTTTCCACATTTATACGACTCTTATTTACTGCTTTGTTCAGCACTAAAACTGCATCCGGGGGTGGGTGTTCTCGAATAAAAATATGGAATAGGATGGAAACACACTGTCCGTTTCATATAACAGATTTTTTAAATTTGCTTGAAAATTTCGATTTTTTAAGATAAATTCGAGTCGTAATGAATGATAACAAGCACCTGCCGATATTATCCGATTTTAAACACTATTCATCGATAATCTTCGATGTGGTAGAATTATCGAGCATTATGCTGATGTTTTTTTTTAGTGTGTTTTGTGATGTGAACTGTCACTTTCTTGAGCACCTGCTTCTGTGCTTGTTGCATGCTCAAACTTTGGAAGCAACGATATTTGCCCGGAGATTTGGCAAAAGAATTTATGGCCAAACGTGAAACCCAGACCAAACGATAGGTGCCATCGATGCTGATCTTCACCGGATGCCTGAGATTGGGGAAGTCTGTTGAGGTAGTGATGGAAATCAGTGATGACCTTGGATATATCCGAGAATTCCCATTATAAGAATTGCGGAAACGCATATGTGTGTTGATCACTCGTCTTTCAGCGCTTGGAATTTTTTTCCCCTCATGTATGCCTCAGTGTACGCCATTAGCCATTTCATTTTCCCAAGCGTTGACAGTCGAATAGTCCAGACATAGGGCTCGTGTGGCTAAAATTCATAAGTTGTTCTTATGGAGTTCTTATGTTCTTTTTCCTCAGTGTAGTGTACTAAAACTGTACTAAAAAGTAACCAGCATAATGTAAACAGGGCGTCAGCATCTACCAGCATGATATTTCAGAAGCAACTGAAATTAACTAATTAGTTGAGCTGGTTGAGCTAGTGAATCAGCATATATGGAAACACTCCATATATCCTATGATTCAGGGGCCTGACTGGTGGCCATGTTTTTGATGCTATCATCTGCTCTTGTCTTTCTGCTTATAACATGATTTTCCGTCCCTTTCTACCATGCATACGTCAGGCGGGCCGTATTTAAATAAGGCCCGTGTAGAGTCGGTGAGAGTGAAGCCAAGTCTACCTATTGAACTGTCAACCCGGCTACCTACAGTGATGCCACATTTTTCGAATTTAGATCTGTATTTTCATCGCAAAAAATCTTTTTAATATGTATCTTGCTGACAAAAATCTGTATAATTTCCGTTTTATGGTCTCAGTGCGGATTTACGTAAATCTCCATTGAGCAAATTCATTGTTCAAAATAGTTCAGTTTGTTCTAAGTTTAGAATCATAAAAAAATACTAAAGTTTCATTGGCATAGCTAATGGGGGTGACAAGGGGGCGAGGCCTCTTCAGAAATATCTTGCCCCCCCCCAATATTTGGTGTTATTTTTGACTCACCGGTATTTTGTCAAGTTCGATGTTCCTATTTAACAGCGATTAATAAAATTGGACCATAAACAACGATTTTTTTAAAGTCCTTTATGTTGACCAGTTTTCCTTCATTCTGGACTAGAAGAAACCAGAGAAACTATATTATATCGATATTTGCTCGATGGTAAAATAAAACGTCTTCAAGCTCTACAAATTGGCCATGACTCCAGGGATTTTTCTTTAACTTCGTAAAACTTCAAGGACTTCTAAAAAGTTCAGGCAACATTGTAGACATTGAGGAAATTTAGTAATAATTATGGGAACATCATAGATCTTCAG